GCGTTTGGGAGGGAGTGACAGGCCTTGGCCAGATATAAATCTAACTCCAAACTGAGAAAAATCCAAAGGTGCCGCAGGATGCAGTTTACTTCGTTTAATTATTTTGATTCTGCTCCTTCTGAGGGCGCTTCGTTAAACTCATGCCCCGACAACTCAAAGCTTTTTTATAGAACTAATCATTTTCCACTTTGGACAAGCAAGCCAGAGAAATGCCTATTACAATAGCAAATACGCCGAATTCTCTGTCAAAATTTTGTCTAAAGCAAAAAAAACAATGCCCCTACACTTTTATCGCAGAAAATGAAGTTATGGATCGCCACTTTATTACTCACATCACAGCTAAAGTGGTCTTTTAGGGATGCTGACCAGGAATCGAAAGACCAGGGTTAACTTTCATATTCCAATCGATGTAACAAATATAACTTGGAGCGTTCCCACGACAGTCGGTTATATGTAACCGGAACGTCCCAGATGCATATCTAGCCAAGTACTGTCACTTCAGCACCATTCTCCAAAAACTCTTTGGGGAATTTATATGCGGTTACAACAACAACGTAACCTGGAGCCTTTTTTGTCACTGTTTGTCACACAGTGCTGGATCAAGCATAGATCAGAATTTTTCTATTGACAATGTAAGCTGCAGTTCAAATGGAGAAGTAGTTGGATTCACTTGGCATTTCCAATCGGCGTCAGTTGGCACAGAAGTTAAACGACTGGCGTGCTTGGCCCAAATCGCTTAGGCGGTTACAGCGGTAAATAAGAAGAAGAAGTTGAATTGTTTACTCACAGAATTTAGTCGAAGGATCATGTTGTTGTAAGAGAATAAAAATTTTGCAAGCGGTTTGGGTCCTTCCGATTAGGTAGACTTGACTGTCATGAGAAGGTTCTTATTGTTGTAGTAGCGGCTTACTTAGCCCTGCCTGGAATCGGATAGTCCCTCAATCGTTGTCGTCAAGCTCAACTAAGGAAATGTGCTAATTCGACGCGATCGGACCAGAGGGAGAAGGAGTGATGTTAGTTGAGAATTGTTGAAACTGCAGTTGGGGATAGCGTGGTACAAATACCAGCAAAAAAGTGCAGCCCTCAGGGAGGGGG